GAGAGGTGAGCAGAGTAAGCCTGATTCTTTGTAAGGGTTTCTCTGTTGACATCCACCCCTTGGCGCTCATATGACCTTACGCAGTTGCAAGCGCCGTAAAACCTCTATTCAAAATTTAAAAAGAGGAGTGTCTTAGGGTCTTTTGGGTTGTGATGATAGTCGTGATGCGCATAAAACATACTGTAGTGTAAGGATATGCACTATTTGAATGCACTTATTATTATTATTATTATGATTATGATTATTATTATTATTATTATTGTTATTTTTATTATTATTATCATCATTATTATTATTATTACATATATTATTATTATTACATATATTATTATTATTATTACATATATTATTATTATTACATATATTATTATTATTATTACATATATTATTATTATTATTACATATATTATTATTATTATTATTATTATTATTATTACTATTATTATTATTATTATTATTATTAATGTTATTATTTTTATTTTGACTATTATTATAATGATTGTTGAGCCACCAGAGAATGAGCACTATAGAAGGGATCTTTATAATTATTTTTATTATTGTTGTTGTTATCACTATTATTTGCCATCATCATCATCATCATAATCATCATCTTCATCATCATCATTGTAATTATTGTAATTATTGTAATTATTTTTAGTGTGTATATTAGATGACATAATGTGTGCATAAAAAGATCGAAACTAAAGGCGTCCCTTTCTCTGTCTCACTTATCATCCTCTAATCCTCCAGGCCATGAAGTACGAGCCGTATCACGACAACCCGCTGACCCGGTTCCTGCTCAAGCGCAGTCTCCTCAGCCAGAGGATCGGCAATGCTTTCTTTTGGCATTTGAAGTAAGTGCTGGTGGTTGTTGGCAGCAGACTGGAGCTAAGTGGTTGATGTTATCATGATTATTATTTGTATTGTTTTTATGTTTTATCGTTATTGTCACTTATGTTATTGTTATTATCATTATTATTATTACTACCACCTTTATAATAATAATAATAATAAAAATAATAATAATAATAATAAAAATAATAATAATATAATAATAATAGTAATAATAGAAATATTACTACTACTACTACTACTACTACTACTACTACTACTACTACTACTACTACTTCTACTACTACTACTACTACTACTACTACTACTACTACTACTACTACTACTACTACTACTACTACTACTACTACTACTACTACTACTACTACTACTACTACTGCTGCTACTACTACTAATAGTAATAATAGAAATTATTAATAATAATAATAGAAATATAATAAAAAATAGTTATAATAAAAATAATGATTACTAGTTATTATTATAGAGAAGGTATAATGAGTTATCATTATTACGTATTATCCTTATGTCTCCCCCTCCTCCGTCCATCCCCCCAGGTCAGAGATGCACCAGACGTCGATCCGCCTGCGGTTTGGCCTCATCCTGGAGGCGTACTGCCGAGGCTGTGGCCCCTACCTCAAGAACCTGGCCCAGCAAGTGGAGGCGCTGGACAAATTGACCAAGCTGACGGACATGCTCAAGCACGAAGTCAACAGTGTGAGTGTGTGTGTGTGTGTGTGTGTGTGTGTGTGTGAGTGTGTGTGGGGGGGGGGGGGGGTGTGTGGAGGCGCTGGACAAACTGACCAAACTGACGGACATGCTCAAGCACGAAGTCAACAGTGTGAGGAAGGAGAGTGGAGGGGGCGGATGATGGTAGGGATGGGGTGGTACCAGGTAGTACCTGAACTCCCGGTTTTACTGGAGGAGGTGTCAGTACCAGGACCAGGCCTCCAGTACCGTCTCTTGGAAGGAGCCGACACCAAGGTTTTTTTCCGGGCCATGGGAAGTGTGCTGTACGTAGGCCTAGGTGTAGCAGCTGTGACGTCAAATGCACAACGCAGCGGGTGACCTTGATACGTGAATTTAGCTTCAAATTTAACTATCAAAAACAAAGTTAGCTAAAGTTTAAAATATGGCATCAAATCAGGTTATACGTGAGCCACTTTTGCTGATTCCGAAAATGAAATAAACTGCTGCTTTTTCTTTCCTCATCCTTACTATCGTCATTTCCCTCTACTTCTTTTGTATGTTTGTCACTCTATAGTGAACTGCTGTTTCCGGGGTGCCTTGATAGTCGAAGCAGACTTTGTGCTGTTGAGGCTAGAGAGGTGAGCAGAGCAAGCCTCATTCCCTGTTTGGATTTCTCTGTTGACATCCACCCCTTGGCGCTCATATGACCTCCTGCAGTTGCAAGCGCCGTAAAACCTAACCTAAAAAACATTACTTAACCATAACCGTACGCCCTGGGGTCATTTTGTACCCCCGGGGTTAGAATACTTCTAGTAGGAAGTTCTCTTTAAAACTTTCAGGTTTTGACAAAAAAACTATGTTGACAGACTGCTATGCAAAGCGTACGGATCAGATTAACGAGTAAATGTCCTTATTGGAAAGTGGTGGCAGAGAGTTTCCCACATCGTATGGATACCTTCGTAAAACACAACGTATGGATAGGGTTAAACTCGACTAATTTGTCTTCTGTTTATTTTCTGTTCCCCAGGACGACCACCAGAAATACCTGCACGCCCAGCTACAACAGCCTGACTACAAGGAGGCTCTCCAGCACCTGCACAACCCGCTCAATACGTCGCACATCCTGGGGGAGATCAAGTGAGACACCCACACGTGCACACACACACACACACACATGCACGCACATACACACACACACACACACACACCCAC